AAACAACAAAATGGAATTCATTAAAGTCAAGTGCACAGTACTACACTTTGGAATGAAAAATCAAACGCACAACTAAAAAATGGGGGATAGCTGGCTAGTTGGTTGTGTTACTGAAAAGGATCTGGGGGTTAGAGTGCATCACCAATTGAAGAAGAGCCAACAATGTGATGCAGCTGCAAAAAAGGTTAATATTCTGGGATTTATTAACAGGAGTGTCATATGTAAGACACTGGAGGTAACTGCCCCACTCTGCTTGGCACTGGGGAGGCCACAGCCAAAGTATTGTGTCCAGTTTGGCGCACCGCGCTTTAAGAAAGATGTGGACAAACTGGAAAGAGTCCAGAAGAGACCAACAAAAATGATAAACAGTTTAAAAAACCTGCCCTACAAGGAAAGGTTAAAAAACTGGGCATGTTTATTCTGGAGAAAACAAGACCGAGGGAGAACCTGATTACAGTCTTCAAATATGCTAAGGGCCATTATAAAGAGGACGGTGATCAATAGTTCTTCATGTCCACTGAAAGCAGGATAGGAGGAAATCAGGTTAATCTGCAGCAAGGAAGATTTAGGTTAGCTATTAGGAAAAGCTTTCTACCTAGAAGAATAGTTCAGCACTGGAATAGGCTTCCAAGGGAGGTTGTGGAGGTTTCTAAGAATAGGTTAGACAAATACCTGTCAGGGATGGTCTCGGTATATTTAGTGCTGCCTCAGTACGGGAAGGTAGTCTAGATGACTTCTCAAGGTCCCTTCCAGCCCTATGTTTCTGTGATTCTATGACCATTTGCCCTTTGGTAGTGAAGGCATGTTGAAGGCAGTTGAATGCAAGGAGTTCCCAGTTCTGCAGGCTCCAGGTTAGCAAGAACCATAATATGCCATGTTGTTGTTAACATGTTTGTCTCTCACTCACCTGGGCAGGTGTCTTTAGCAGCACAAACTACAGTGGCTATGCAGAGTAAAGCAACAAGCGTTTTCTGAGCAGCTCTCCACATGGCTGGTGCTGGTCTCTGCAATGGCAGCTCCGCTTGTCTTCTCGCCACCTTTTCCTCTGCCTCTGGTGCCTCAGCGCCTCCTTCCCACTCTCCACATTCCAGCAGTGTCCACTGAGATTTTTATGTTGTAGGCTTCACAACTGTAGCTAATTAAATGGTCTGATAGGAGACATTCAAATATTAGAGTAGCAGCCATTGCTTCAGCCACATGGCAAATACACTCTCATGCAATGACGATTATTGAACAGAGCCAATCTTAACCCTTCCACCCCAAGTTAATTCATGTGAACGAGTCTGCTGGAACATTACAATAGGGGCCCAAGTAATGAGCCCAATCTGACCTTCTTCATCACTTCAAGTCCCCTGTTGGCTTCGGTGGGAACCTTTTGGTGAAGAGGGAGAACAGGACTGGGTGAATTGCCCTGTTCTGTTCACTCCCTCTGAAGCATCTGGCCCTGGCCACTCTTGGAAGAGAGGATACTGAGACCATAACAACAGCCATATCATGTCAGACCAATGGTCTCAGTATCCTCTCTCCCAAGAGTGGACAGGGCCAGATGCTTCAGAGGGAGTGAACAGAACAGGGCAATTAGTGAGTGATCCATCCCCTGATGTCCAGTCCCAGCTTCTAATACTGAAATGGTGTAATGTTATTTGCATGGCAGTAACCCTTGGAGGTCTCATCTCAGATTGGAGCCCTATTCTGTTAGCTGTTGTGCATAGCCCTACTAGGAGACAGTCCCTACCCCAAAGATATTACAACATCAATAGACAAGTCAAGTGAAGGGTGGGAGAAAGGAAATATTATTAGCTCCATTGTTGCAGTACAATAGAGCCCTGATCGTGGTTAGAGTCTCTTAGTGCTCCTGTCTTACCAATGAGTCACAATGAAATCTTTTCTGCGTGTCTTTTCCTCTTTAGTTAGACAAGTTGCCTGCCACATGCAAATGGATACCATTTACAGCCCCTGGTAAGCCTGGAAAGAACACAGCCTTGTACATTAACAGTTTTGCAATTACTTGCAAAGGTAAATGGTGTCTGACACTACACCCCATATTCATCATAGTGGTATCATTATAGGATTAGATTAGGACATAGTTATAATGCATCTTGTACAAAATGTGTTTTGGGAGATGTCTATGGAAAAGGTATGATTTGTTGAATACGATTATCCTATTCGCATGCATGTATCATTTTTTATCTGGAGTTATGAATATTGACTATGTATCTGTATTTCAATGTGCTTACTCTGGGTAACACCCATAACTAGCCTTTCAGGTACAACAATGAAGAAGCTAGACAGTGCTGATGGTCCATCAGCAAAGACAATGGACCATGGAAGAGTTTAGTCTTCCTGTGAATGCTCCAGACAGCCTATGAGTAATGGCTGCCAGGGCATGCTAGGGCATGTGACCAGACCACATGACACCGAGCTCCATTTTGGTGCCTGTAGTTTCCCACAAACTGGACTGGGAACTGAGCTTGGAACAAAGGATTCCCACTATATGGAAAAGCTATATAAGGTGGGAGTGACATCATCTCTTGGCCTCGCTCCCCTCACAAAAGAGAACTCCTGGAAACCCCTGAGAAGCAAAGACTGAACTGGGGGAAGTGCTGGTCCAGGCTAAAGGGAGTTCTAGCCTGTGTATGGAAACGTGGTGGAATGCTTGTATCATCAGTCAGGGTCAGGTGTTGCTAATTCAAATCCTATCCATCTAGTATATTAGTCTTAGTTTGAGTTTTTGTTTATTTGCCAGGTAATCTGCTTTGATCTGTTTGCTATCACTTAAAATCTATCTTTTTGTAGTTCTGCTAGTGAAGGCTTGGTCCTGCTAGTGAAGGCAGGGGGCTGGACTTGATGACCTTCTGGGGTCCCTTCCAGTTCTAGGAGATAAAAATATAGCTATTTTATTTAGTTCAATAAACTTGTTTAATGTTTTAATCTAAACCACTGTGCCTTTAAGTAAAGTGTCGGGGGGTAATTTCAGCTTGGTTAACACAAGCTTATTGTGCATATCTTTCCCACATTGAGGGGAAAACAAGCTATATTAATGAGCTTACATTGTACACTGTGCAGTGTAAGATGGTATAATTCTGGCTTTACACTCCAGCAGAGGTGCATGGCTGGGTAGCTGGGCAATTGGCTGTTGTCTCCTGCTTGTCTTCGAGTGGCTTAGGTAAAGCACTAAGGCAGCTCAGTTGGGTGTGTGGTGCCACCTGCTGTCGTGTTGAGTGACAGCAGGGCCTGAAGAGGCTGGCTGTGTCCCCAACAGAGCAGTGTGAGTTAGACCAGACCAGCTGCATGGTTAGGGGGCAAAGCGGTTCCCACGGCTCCCAGACTGCACCCAGGGGGTGACAGCCCGTCACAGTGACAATTGGTTGCTTGGATCTTATCTATTTCTGGGAGAGCAGAGTGTGTTTATAAGGCTATTTTCACAGCTTCCCCAGTCAAGTGAAAAAGACAAAATCCAACCTCTTTTTATGCAGCCAATGTTTTACTCTATTACCGCATATATATACAAAAAGCCAAACAGTCAGTGTATCAGGATTTCCCAGTATTGTGAAACACGTGGTGACAGCTCTGATTGCATCTTATCAACTTAAGGAAATATGTTTGTTTCATAAGGGGAAATCCCTAGTGAACATTCAGTGGGCAGTGATGTACAGGACAGCAAGGCTACACTATCTACACAACACTCCCCAAATGCTTAGACAGAACCAAAGGCATCAAACTGAACAGCTGAAATGTTAATTGGAAAGCTATCCAGAAACAAAGCCCAGCCATGCATTTGCAGTCTAAACGGCTTTTATTTTAGAAGAAGGGAAAATAAGAAAGAACAAAAGCAAAGTCTCCAGGAGACAGAGCACAGTGGTTGCTTCTGTTCCTTAAAGTCTGCAGCTGAACCAAACACAAAAAGGTAGCTCTCCATAGATGGCAGACACCTAGATATTTAAAGGTGCATTACACAGAAAAACTCCTAATTGTTACCATGTTGCATACACATTAATTGCATTAAGAGGAAGCTGCTCTCCAAGCGGAACAAAATTTGTTTTCTCTCTCACAGTCGGGAAATCACAGCAAGAGATGGACTAAAACCAGGATCACAGAACGGAACAGCTCTGAAATTTGGAGACGTTCAGATCCAAATCTGAATTTGCAAGCGTGGGTCCATCTCTCATCTTAACCACATTAATATTAATTGTCCCTTAAAAAAAAAAAAAAAACACTTGAGAGAAGAACACAAACCATCCAACTTTTAAAAAACAGATCCGGCCAGGAGAGCAGAAGTCCTGACAGCACACGGTCACTTGATGAAGGGGTGGTAGCACCTGCAGTGGCAAGGGAGGACACAGCTAGGCAGGGCACCAGCCTGGTTTTTAGACCATTTTAGGATTTCCGTTCCCCGAGTGTCTGGAGATGGATTTGATGGCAGACGTGACAAGCTTGGTGTCTCAGGAAGAGGAGGGAGCCACCCAGCGCTCTCCTCACAACTCGGATCTCTCTCCTTCACCTGTGTTCCAGTGGGTGCCTGGGGCAGCTCAGTTAGCTGGAGAGGCGCTGTGCTATCAGTGGTGGCCGCAGGTGAAAATGGATGAGCAACGATCAAGTGAAAAGTAGTGGCTGCAAAAAGAGGTGGATATCTCCCACCCTCAGGCAGGGGAGACCCTGTCCACAAAAACACAGAACGTGCATTAAAAACAAACAAACATATGGCGAAAAACCATCTAAGGGCTTGCCTACATGAACATTTCATTTGCAGCAAGCTGGGGTGCGAGTCTACCTCACAATAGCCCGGCACGCACTATCTGTGTGGCCCCTGCTGATGGACACTAACGGTTCATTAGTGTGCTTCAACCTACTCCCCTTTCAACGTGCACTAACGAACTGTTAGTGGGTGTCAGGCGGGTCCACGGTTAGTGCGTGTCAGGTGAGCGAGGGGTAGGTTCACACCCCAGCTTGCCATAAACTAAATCTTCACATGGACAAAAGTCCTTTGTAGCCTAATCAGAGCTGAATGCTCACCTCCGTGGGAGCAGCCTGCAGCGGTCCTCCAGCTGGGCTAAACCGGCCTAAATTTCATTTCAGAGAACTTATAGGAATAGCCATGACCTTTTCCTGCCAACCAGTTGATGCCAGTAGCATGCTTCTCTTGTCTCTCCCGCCAGTAAAACCCATTCAGGTTGGAGTGATGACATCCATTGTACCACCAGGCCCCCAGGTAGGCTGTAGCACAGTTGTCTGTGCTCTGATCATTGTCACCGTCCTTGGTTGAAAAGGCCATGCCCTTGTGAACCGATAGAGAATCGCCTGGGGAAAAACACAAATGCCGTTGTTTCCATTTATTGCTGATCTCTCTTGGAGACTGTACCACTTTAGATGCCTAAATGGGAGCGAAGGTCTTTAGCAAACCTGGCCCATAAAATCAACCCCTATTAACTGGTTTTGTTCATTTTTAATCTCTGCATTCTGCATGCACGTTGAGGGTTATGCTAGCTGAATTACACAAATGGATTGTATGAACAAATTGTCCCTGGGGGTACTGACTGTAGTTATCGCACTGTGAAATGTAGGTGCGGATTCAAAGGTTCCGAAAAATAATGCTTTTCTTAACGACATATATTCACCCCATGTCAGCTAGCATCGCTGTATGTAATTGTAATTATTTTCCAGGAACAAAGCTGTTTTTATCGAACAATTAGCCTACTTGCTTTGGGGGGGGGGGGGGAGAAATCCCATAATTTTGGGCAGGGAAGTATTTGGGGTTTATGAGTATTTTGCTCCCCACTCTCCTAAAATGGAGAGCCATCAACCTCCTCATGTGTTGCCAATAGAGCGAATGAGGTTATTGTACTTAAAAATCTCCATCATTCTCGATATTGCTCTGGAAATTGGTGGGAGGGTTGGGGAAAGACTGGTTTACATTGAAGGCATTAGCCTGGGTCAGATAGGTATGACTGTGGCAAACCAGCTCAAACTCTCTACTCCCAATGGGACCCTCCTATAATTGCAGATCCATTATAATTTTATCAGGTTCAGAATTCCTAAAAACAATCTTTAGTTGCCTCTCCAGATGTGCAGCTCTAGAAGATCTGAGAGCAAATATTATAAAGTATAATGGCTGAACAGCAATCCTTTTCTCTGAATCCATAGATTGCTTGAGGAGATCTCTTAATAATGCAGTGTCTAGGTCTAGAGTTACCAGAGCTTTTACCATTACATTTAATGCAATGCTTTAAGGGCACATATTTCCCAAAGAGGCTTTGCCCACAAGGAGTAATTTATTTTGCTTCTGGCAGAGGATACCCTCCGTTTCTCTTCAGCGTGCAGGATTTCCAGTTGCTATGACCACTAGAGAATAAATCCAGAACCTACCTGCAGTCCCACCAAGAAAGTCTCCAAGGATCAGCTTGTATTTCTCAGTCTCCCCTAATATTTTGAAAGACTTGTACTTGGCAAATACACAGTTGTCTTCAAAATCCCTGAGATCAATGCGCAGTTCATGGGTTCCTATTACAAAACAATTTGATAATAAAATGGTCAGCAGATTCCATTAAGGTTTTTGCACAGACTTTGCTGGTGGATCTTGGCCATGGGAGATTCAGGTGCACGTGTACCATGCACAATTGCTTTTACTAACTGTTTCAATCTGCTAATCCCATTCCTCTCTGGAGTTTATTTATGATCGTTTTTCCTGGCAGGGTTGTAAAGAGACAGCTGCCTTTGACAGCACTTCCAACCCTGATCTGTACCCTGTGACTGTGGGGAAGGACTTGGTGGAAAATAATATATAGCATTTTTCTAGGGGCTGATCCAAAGTCCTCTGAAGGCAAGTAAAGACACCCAGGGACTTTGGATCAAATCCCCAGTGTATTTTATCTGTGTGTTAACAGGCTTTGCAAAGCACCATTATCCCCCTTTACAAATGGGATAACTATTTCTCAGAGTGTTCAGTAGCAGAGACAGGACTAGAACCAGGAGTCTTGGCTGCCCACCCTCACTCCAGCCAATCAGTCATCTCCAGCAGCTGGTACCACTCTAGGGTCTGTTTCTAAGGGAAGAGGTGGAGAAGGGCTTACTTGACACAACTATAAGAAAAAAAATGCATCAGTGATTTATTCACCAATTGACGTCAGCAGGTGGATATTGTCGTTCCCCAGCCAGAATTCTGACAGCCGGCTGCCAAAACCTCTCTTGTACGAATTCCAATCGCGGAAAAAATCCACCAAACCATCCACCCGTTTCTGGAAAACCTGCAGGGAAACGAAAGGGACTTAGCTATCAAATTTCCCATTTTGTTCCCCTTTCCTTAGGGGAGGCTCCAATTTACATTGGCCAAATCCACTTCAGTATTATGTGGCTAAGCACAGCTCTGCTGTCGTCGGAATGGTGTGGTTTGAATACTTCCCTTAGGTCAAAGGACACAGGGATGCAAAGTGGAAACGGTCCAGCAGTTACAGTTACATTACATGTGTCCACCAGCATGGGTGAGATCGCGCTGCAACACTAAACTTCTAGTAGGAGAAAATATTATGGTTGGTTGGGATTTTTAAGAGGGCTCAGTGTCAAACTAATTCTGTTCCCACTGATGTCAAGGGGGAAATTCACTTGGACTGCAGCGGGAGCAGACTTAGTCCAATGCGAAGTACTTCTGAAAACCAAGCTGTGCAGTTCCAGAGATTGCTTTGGACACAAAGGCCCAGATCCTCAAAGGTATTTAGGCACCAACTCCCATTGAAATTAATGGGACTTTAGCTCTGAAATACCTTTGAAGATCAGGGCCTAGGTGCACAGAACTACTCATAACACTTTCCTCCCTTCCTGGCTAGATACATCACTCCTGAAAAACGCAGGCTTATCAGACGCCTGCAATAAGCCATGCCATCACGTGATATAGACCGTGGTTTCCAGAAAAGGCGTGGAAGACGCTAAAACAAAATTCTTTTCAGTGTAATTCAAATCTTCAGGTTAAGTCCAAGCCAGGCTCAATGCCAGCTTCTGCAAGCACTGACTCTGACAGAGGGCTTTGGGCTGGGAAGTCTAGCAGGAGGAGGAAGCCAAGGCAAAAAGGAACAGCAGCCTCTCCTTCATCAAGGGACCTGTAGCGACCAATGCAGCCCTGAACGTCGGCAGCACTGCTCCAGGAAATGGGGGTGGGGGTGACCCAGGCAGCACAGCCTTGCTGCCAGCCATAATGGCTTGGATCCTGTGGAGCGATGAAATTTCCTGAGGGAGGGCAGCCCAGGGTGCATCTCCCCAAGGATCCCGGAGTTTAGCTTAGGCAGGGAGATGACCCAGCATGAGGGAATGTGGCCTGACATCCGTAAAACTGGTGGAAGCAATACACAGCGTCTAACTGGCTGCAATGGGGCAAAGGGTGCTTTATTCTGACTTACAATCCATCCCCCGCCATCCGTGTCCATGTCACACAGCACAGTCATGGCAACACAGTCCTGCGTAAAAACGGTGTACCAGCCACTCAGAGAATTCCCTTCGCTTAACAGCTGCTTGCAGTCCCGTGCTCCTGGGCAGAAGGGGAATTTAAAAGCAAGTGTCTTTCCTGGAGTAAAAGGAATTGTTTTCTGATAACTTTGACAGTTTGCTATTCTGAAGAGTTGGGCTTTGTAGATGTGCATGCCTTTTGCAAAACTATTCAGAAGTTCACACACCCAGCCAGATTCTGCTCTCAGGTCCCCTGTGCAACCCCATTTATTTCAGTGGGGTTTCACTAGTTTAAATGAGAGCAGAATTTAAGAGTATTTAGTGAAGTCTGGCATGGGTGTTCAAAGGATTGTCAGACAATTGTACTTTGTAAGAAAGTGATTTTTCTGTATCGACTCAAATCTCAATACAAATCAGTTTATCAAATGGAGTCCTGCTGCCTTTGGTAATTACCCCCACCTTACATGGGGATGCCTGCAGTCCGCTAATTTCATTGGGATCAGGTCTAGTAACCTATGGGACTCATCTTTGAAGGTACAAAGTGTGGGGGGCGCTGAATGGGATGAGACTCTTGGAAACACTCACCTTTCCTGCACAGGGCATCGTCCAGCTGTTTCTCGCCTGTGCAGGAAAAGAAACACAGTAGAAGTGGATTGAAAGCAGAAAAAATGAGTTTTTCCCCCCAAACAGCTATTTAATCATACAGAGAGCAATGCATACTTATTTGGTCCAAAACAGACTTCGCTCGGAGAAGGATCAGGCCCAAACTAGGAAAACGAATACAAACTAATTTTAAAATAAATATTCGTTCTTCAGCGCAGGTGTAACCCGCTAGTGAGTGTTACACGGCCCCCTCTGTAGAGGATAAGAGTCTATTATAGCCCCGGCTGAGGAACTTTAGCTCAAGCTGCACGTGTTCCTGCGTTAGCTTAGAGATCACCAGTTCACTCTCTAGCATGTCAGCCAAGGTTATAGCTTAGCATGTATGTGAGGCGTGTTCATGTCTCCCTGGGAGAATAGACCCATTGACACTGAACGTGAGCAATGGATTGTTGGGACGGTGCTAGTAAGTTCCCTTAAACATTTGTGAGAGTCCCCGGTGATAAATTTAGCACCAAGTTTCTTGCTGTTTCTTTTTTGACATTTATTTACTTCTTCAAAATTTTAAAATACAGCTATAGTCAAACCAGTGGCATCAACGCTGACCACTATAGCCTTGCTGTTTCCTTGGGGGCCCCCGTCTGTCTGTATCCACCTGGTCTGAAACTCAGATTGTAAGCTCTTTGGGGCAGGACCCATCTTTCTGTTCTGCGTTTGTATACTGCCCAGCACCTTGGGGTCCTGGGCCTTGATTAGGGCTCCTAGGTACTACATTAATACAAATATTACCAATAATATAGGCACCCATCCCGTGCTCTGGGTGCTTATACCGCAAGTTAAAAATCACAGCATAAACGTAGACAAAGGACTGCCCATAAATCTACCCACCTCAGCCCACACCCTCCTTACCAGCCTTACCAAAGAGGAGGGTAAAAGATGGGGTTTGCAGCATGCCCGGAAGGTTAAATCCAGGCTCTGGAGGACCAAGTGGGGCGCGAGTTCCAAGACCAAAGAACCCTCCCAGCAAATGGCCCTCTCGTTTATACTGAAGGAGCTCCGCTGGTCTCAGCTGTGGCAGGAAGTCATGGCAGTAGCGTAGCTAGCGGGGTGCAAGGGAAGCAGCTGCTTCCCCTCAGCACATGTTCCATAAGCGGCGCCTTTCCAAAAGCGGCCGGAGGAGCGAGGGGGGGCACAGGCTGGCGGCCCGCAGCCATGGGGGGGCGACGGGGGAGGCCGGAGGAGCGGGGGGGGGG